TTAAATAATTATATATATTTAGAGTAATACTTTATGTATTATCCCTCCATCATGAACTAATAGATAAACGTCACTTTGTTACATCCTCCACCCATTAACGTTGCTCTGTCATCTTATCACCAAATATCATTCTATTTATTTTTGAAATTTTGATATGTAGCCGTTTAAAAATAGTTTAATTATCCCTCATGATTATAATTTGTTAAATACAATTCAAATCTATATGTTATAGGAAGGAGGGTAACGAGCAAGATTGAGAGAAAGAGGAGAGAGGCAAGCGAGAGAAGGCAAAGAGTCAATGTATATATATATGTATATCTGTTAGATTATCGTATATATGTAAATATTGTGCGTGTGTGTGTGTGTGTGTATATATATATATATATACTGTATTTGTATACCTGCATAAAAATTTGAATTCATATACAATTGAATCGAGTTAAAAATTTCTCTCGCATTATACAATGTATAATTTGTGTTTATATAAAGTGAGAGAGAGAGACGAAAGAATTATGGACAGGAATAGATTTATATTTGTATAATTATAAGTGTATAACGCTAAGAGATATGTACTTTTATTTGTATATCCTATCTCTCTCGCTTTATACTAATAAAAATACAAATTGTACATTTGTATTTGTATAAGAGAGGAAATAAAGCGAGAGAGGGAGAGAGAGAGAAAGAAAGAGAGAAACGCAAAAGAAAGTTGACATGGGAAGATTTGTATTAAGTGTATAGAGTGGAGAGATATACATTGTATTTGCATATCCCGCTCTCTCGCTTTATACAAACACAGACACAAACTATACATTTGTGTTTGTATAAAGTAAGAGAAAGACTGGCAGAAGAGAAGCGAGAGAGAGACAAGGTAGGGAGAGGAGGGAGGCAAGGGAGAGATGACTGGGAAAAGAAAAGGAAAATGGCAAGCGAGATTCCAGAGAGAAGGGAGAGAGGCGCGAGAGAGAATGTAATTATAGCTACACATAAGTTCTAAATTGTAATTAATACAAGTTGTAACTATGTTAGCTAATTACTCCCTCCGTCCGCTACTGTTTATCATGGTTTTCATTTTTAAAGTGAAACTATAAGAACTTTGACTAATATTTTAAGATTTATTTCTTCATCATATTGATATGCAAAAAATTGCTAATTTATAGTACTTTTCATATAATTTTTGAATATCTAAATCTTTTCTTTAAAAAATATCAAATTAATGTAATCTAATTTAACTTTGAAAATTGGTCAACAAAATGCAACATGACAAATAAAAATAGATTGAGAAATTAACTAATATATGTTTGCTTAACCGCATAATTTTTTTATTTATTACTATAGCTATTACAATGGGGAAAACAAAACAATTTTTCAATAGAATTCCTATAAAATTGATAAATATATAGATGGATACAAATATAATCTTCATAAAAATGAAAACAAAATCAATTAATAGATAACTTTCCTATTTAATACTCTCTTCATTTTTTTTATATGTCGTCTTTTTAGATTGCACTTGCATCAAGAAATTAAGTAATTTTGCCCTTATACCTTTACTAAATGTTTTGTTAAGTTAACTTTTCAATAAATGATGAATATGTTAGATTTCAAAAATTAAAATGCATTTGGATGATTATTTAAAATTTTGAGTTTATTTATAAAATCAAATATTATAGAATAGTAAATGGAGAGAGTAATTAATCAATGTGTGAAGTACTCGAATGAAAATTATTTACTTATTAGTTTTCCTAGTTTGGTCAACGCATATATGTTTAAGACTAATTAACTAATCTATCAAAAGTATAATAGGGTAATATGGTAATTTATGCATTAATTTGATGAAAATGACAAATCTGATTCGATTATTTATAAAAATGGATGACATAGAATATTTCATATCTTTTCTGATTATCTGTGAAAAATTTACATAAATATATAATAATTAAAAAATATTTACCAATTATAGTAATAACATCTTATTTTACTTAATCACTTTTAATACATGTATAGTACACTTTTAATAACCATTACAAAGAACAATTTATTATTCACATATAAGACAATTTTTATTGATGGATAATACATTTATCACACATTTTAATACACTTTTAATATAATGTGTCAATTTCTTACCAAACAAGCATAATATATTTTTTAAAAGATGGTTATAATACATATACACTGAATACATAATTCACTTTTAATACATATAACAGATTTAACATAGTGTTGTTATAAATGATAATAAATGAAAAATATTGCTAAAATCAGTAATTATTTATTAAAAAGTATAACTCCTGTATATGATCAACTTTGTTATTTATTGTGTATTTGTATTCATATAATATTAAAAAAATTATAGCTATTTATTTTAAATGTATATTAATATTTGTCATAATCTATAAGTTTTCGTTGTTTTTTAATTGATATGTTAGAATACTCCTTTTTTATTTTGGATAGAACTTCTTTCGTAATTGGTTTGGTTTCCATTATAATATGTTGAGTAACAGATATGAGTCAAATGAACTGATTGAGTTGGATTTTAAAATGTAAGGTAAATTGAACTAATAAATAAATAGAAAAATAATTTATTTTAGTAAGAAGTAAATTTAAGTAATTTTTTTGAATAAATTAATTGCTAATAAATTCTCAATAATTTAAGTTCCTTTTTGACTTAACCTTGTGATATCATTGTTTAAACACGTAGATTTTGCAAATTTAGAAATTACTTTAGTCTTTGGCTGAAAACCCTTCTCCCTATTAGTGGACAACAACAAAAAATAAATATAAAAATGGCAGATACTGCATTATTAGTGACCCCATTTTCAATCAGGTAAAAAGATGCTAAAATTGATAAACGTACCCCAAAAATTGATAAACGTACCCCATTTTCAATCTATTAAATTATTTTTTTAACTAAAATTTATTGCTTTTAATTATTTATATAACAAATCAAAAATTTTTAAAAATAAAAATACCATTTAAACTATTTAGTGATCCACCCACGTAACCCGATCCGTTAAAAAAACATGATATGACTCATTTTATTTTATCTTTAATTCTAATTCAAGATTTAAAGAGAGGGATTAATTTAGGATTAAAGATAAAATAAAATGGGTCATATCATATTTTTTAATGGGTCGGGTTAGGTGGGTGGATTACTAAATGATTTAAATATTTTTTTTGTTTGTTATATAAATAATTAATATCAATAAATTTTAATTAAAAAATAATTTAATAGATTGAGTGATTTTCTGAGGAAAGAGTGGATAGTTGAGTAACTTTTGACTTAAAATTCAAAGTTGAATGACTTTCTGAGAGAAAAGTGCATAATTGAGTAACCATCTGAGGTATTAACTCGATATTTGTGTGAAAGTATTTCATTAGACGTTTTTGTGAAAAAGAATACTCTTTCTTCTTCCTTACCTCTTTTCCATCTGTTCTTCATCACACTAGTTTGCTCCATTGTCCTTCATATTATCAGTCCATCGCTATGACTGTCTTTTATAACGATCATTTTTATCATTTTAATTTGTAAAGGATTGAAATTTAAAATTTGTTTCTTTAAATCAATATATAATTTATGTAAATGTAAGATGTTCTTTTATTAAAAAAAAAAATCAGTTATGAATCAGATAAAAAAATTCGATGTAACTTCACTTTTTCTAACAATAATAAGTACTTATTAATTTTTCGACCGAATTCGTCTTCTTGTACCAAAAATGGGAACGAAGAAGAAAGTTACAATTTATTTTGATTATTTAAGAGATCGAAGAAATAACGTGTTAGAAAACTTGACGTCTCGTTTGTTCATAAGCCATCAAAAATAGCTATAAAAAAATATAACATGGTGGGTTGCCGTGTTGTTGAAATGTCACGTCATCGTGTGTGCATTTCACACATTTTATATTTTTAGTTTATTGTCATAAAATATTTAAATAGTTCAAATTCGAAAAGATAGAAGTGTTAAATAAATACATGTCTTAGTTCAGGTGTTTAAGTAAATTATGCGGACAATTTTAAAAGCCGTATTTTAAAAGCCGTAGATGACTTAAACGTTATTTTTATGCATTGTTTCTTTTGATGCATAAAAAGATAACATGCATTGCATAAAAAATTAATCTACAGAGATACCCTACACTATTATGGTAGAAAAGATGTAAAAAAGTTTTTGAGGGGCAATTGAATCTTTAATCATGTTAATGCATACATTAAAACCATTGCATTGCTGGTACCTAAAAATCCATACATGGCGTTAACAATACACACCTTACACAATAGAGTGTATAAATAATGTAAGTTGAAAAAGGTACCAAATAAGATATTAGTAATACAAAAGATTAATGTATGCATTATTTTTCCTAATACACTCTACCACACGATATGGACATCTCCAACCCAAATCATCAAATTTTAAACTAAATTTGGTGTCAACACTATTTTTGGTGTAATCAACTTTAACCCACCCCATCAAATTTTACACCAAAAAGAAATATTTCTCGCTCTCTTCATTATTATATTATTATTTCTTATTTCATTGATATTTTCTTAGACGAAACAAATCATTTCTAAACATTTACTATCTATAATTCACATTATTTCATTTTATACTCAATTATGATTTATATTATAATATAGTAAAATTAACATAAATTTAATTTTAAAAAAAATTATACATAAAAAAAATTATATATAAAAAAATTAATTAATAAAAAAGGTAACTATTATATCTAAAATTAATATTATGAAAATATTACATAGAATTAATTAAATATATAAGAAATTTAATTAAAACGTACTATTTATATAATGTGTAATTAAAAGCTTGTATAATAAATTAAAATAAAAATTTAAAAAGTAATTTAGTGTAATTAACAAATTTGATATAACACTATTTATTTACACGTTAAATTTGACGTAAAATTTGGTGCGAGTCGGAGATGTCTTTGGTGGAATATTACAAGGCTAACAAAGTAAATTAACAAGGATATAAGGACCTAATTTAATTTTCTTCACTTTTTCCCTGACGAATTTTGAATGCTCCCTAACAGTAAACACGACATAAGAGTGACTTTGCTTTGAGCCCCGACGTCCCCACCTCGAAAAATGGAACTATCGGCAATAATGTCGCCGGCGAATTACCTAGAAAAAAATTCCAGTTATTCTCAAGCAATTAATCTCACAAATCGCCGCCAAATAGTTCACAGTAGCAAATTAAAATACGTTCGAACAACTTCCCCTTCTTTGAAATTACCCCCAGTGACTACGGATTGCGACAATGCAGAAGTCATCGGTGCAAGAGAGCGCAGAGGGAAGGAATGGATTCACTTTGTCGGCGTCGGAGGTTGCGGTTTGTCCGCTCTCGCCATGCTTGCTCTCAAACAAGTATATATTCTCTGTCATTCACTGACTCACACACTATGTATATTTGGTGGCTAACTTCTTTTTGCTATAAATTTCTGTAACTATAAAGTTGTGATTATGATGTTGCTTGTCTGGAGTTTCAGAAATGTTAATTTTATTTGCCAGTGATTATATATCATGTTTGAATTGAATAATTTGACTATGGAACTCCAAAACCCTGTTATGTTTTTTAGGATGTATGAAATAACCTTTTCACTTTCATAAAATAGCTCGTGATACCTCTCTTAATTCTAAGGATGATTTTGTTAGCCACAGAAAGAGAAACAGTCTAAATGCTCATAATGGAATACTACATCTGATTTCCAACATAAGGCTCAGCAAAAAAATGCCGTTTTTATGCATAAGAGTACTACCTTCTATTTGCAATATAATTCTACATGCAACATTTGGTATTAAATTATCCAAGCTTGTATAATTATCCATCGAATAACAATTGCATATCTCCTACATTATTAAGCACATAGCAATATTATGTATCATAATTCATAGCCTTTGCATGCTAACACATGAATCAAACGATGCATTATTATTTGGACAATTGAACTAGTGTTCTGGTAGTTAGTTTGAAATGTTTATTTCCCGTATTAAATTGAATTAAATTTGGAAATACTCTAGGGTTATGAGGTCAGTGGTTCTGATATGATGTGGAGCGATGCCATGGACGCATTGCGAGAAGCAGGTGCCCGAGTGTATATAGGCCATTCTGAGCTTAACTTGAGAAAGAATAATGGGTTGGTGCCTGATGCCCTTATTGTGTCAAGTGCGATTCGTGGGGGCAATGTGGAGATTTTACATGCCGAGTCTGTTGGAATACCTGTGTGAGTATGTTAATCTTAACTTTGTGATTGAACTTCTATTACCGAAGTTAGACTTGGACTCAGATAGTGATTCTGTTCGTGTAGGTACAAGCGAGGAGCTTGGTTGGGTAGGATCACCAAAGGTTACAACCTCATTGCTGTCAGCGGGAGCCATGGTAAATCTTACTTCTTTTGTGTTTACGGGGTTATTGTCAATATGTGACAAATCTATTTGATACCAAGCTTTGCTAAATATGGACAATGTTATGATTTTTGACTAGACTCAATATTTGCTTGTATTTACACGGAAGTCTGAAATATGAAGAAAGTTCCCTGAGGTGTAAGCATTTGTGTTAGCCGACTTCTCTTGGGTGAATCTGTTGTAAACGCATGTGCAATTGTACTTGTGTTCAATATCAACGTAATTATGTACAGAACTGAACATTTTATGAGATCTTGACTCGAATCATGATGTAATATCATGTTCCCAAGGAATCTGAAATATGAGGAACTTCACTATCTTGCTTATAGCGTAAACCATTTTGCATTTCCGCTTGTGTTAGTCAGCTCTGGCAAAACCTTGGTACTCCTCTGCTTTATTAGCGTAGCAATTTGATCCATGGAAACACTTCTTGGCAGAATGTGTATCTGCTCTGGTTTTTGTGCGCATAGAGTATTCAAAAGAGAGAAGAACAACACCATTGACTGAAGGGGTTATTCTGAGAAAGAGAAAAAACGAGATTTAGACAACATTTTGGAGAAGAGAGTTTCAGGTTTCCCATAAGCAAATAACAATGTTGCTAATGAACTATTATGTTATTAGCAAATTAATAGGTAAAATTCATGTTATGAGTGCATGCGTAGACCTTTTAAGGCCTGATAAGATGTTTGGCTCTGAACTCTGTGATATCTATCAGTGGAGACTGATTCTTGAAGGTCTTTGGCTATTGTCTATTATTTAGTCTGGTAATTTGATCCACTCTTGTTTCAGTCTTCTTTAACACCAAAGTTTCACTTTTCGTGCTTTCTTTTGATTTACTCACCAATGCAGGGAAGACTACCACCGCTAGTATGCTTGCTTATGTATTAGATGCAATGGGGGATGATCTTACAGCTGTAATTGGGGCTCGGGTACCACAGGTAGGTTCACTCTGCATCTTTATGGAGTTTCGCTTGATGTGCTCATTGTGAGTTTTTCAACAGGGCTTGCAGGTTGATAAGTTGATTTTTGTTCACATTAGAGCATTTGAATCCTACTGTGGGTTTTTTCAAACTTACTTTTGATGTAATTTCCTTCTGCAGCTAGCTGAAAGAAACATCATCTTTGGAACTGGTTGCAACTTTGTACTGGAGGTATCCAATCCTTTCACACCTCTTTTCTTGTATCTAGTTGTCTGCATGAGTTAGTTTTTCTTTGTAAAATTTTAAGAGATAGAAAACTATTATGATTGTTATTCCTGTGAGTCTTCTATGTACTTTCTAATGTAGGCTGATGAATATGACTCTTGCTTCCTTGGAGTAACACCTCAAATAGCTGTGGTAACAAATGTAGATTGGGAACATGTAGACATGTTTCAAGACGAGGTTGGTGATTCACTGCTTGTAGTGTCTGCCATGTATGCTAAATTTGATTTTTTTGGTCTCTGGAAATGACCAGATTATCATCAGATTGTTTCTTTGTCATCTCAGGAAGCAGTTAAAACTATTTTCAGGAAGTTCATAGGGCAGATAAGGGCTGGAGGACATTTAATTTTATGCGGTGATAGGTATATATTGATAACTTCTCTTACAAGGTTGATACATTTCATGGATTGAGTGGATTTAGCATCAAAGTTTCTTACTCAAATAGACACTTGTTGAAGATTTCACACCAAAAAAAATCTCATTTTTCATAGGAAACATCTCCTGAAGGAGAACAATCAACTATGCGATATTCGTTTACAGCAGAAAATATACGCCTGATGCTACTTTGTTGGTCATTGTCCTTTAGAACAGTACTCTGAAGATATTATCCATATATTATGCAGAGTTCACAGACTACAGTTCCTATAAAATCATGTCTAAACCAACCTGTTGATGCTGCATATATGAGGATATGGAACATTAATCCATAACCTGATACCTTGATCATTCTATTACAGAAGGTCTCATTTATGTTTTACAAACTCTTGTTTGGTGGCTTGTGTATCTTTAGTTATAGATCACATAAATTGATCTCATTCTGAGGCTAACAAAAGGAAATATCAAATTTTCATGTCTAATGTACTTACTAACAATGATTTTCTGATTGGATTTACAGTCCGGTTGCATGTTCTTTGGTCAACAAAATGGGCTCAGGCTCTGCTCTTCCAGTTCTTCGCAATGATGCATTCCAGATTTCTACTTACGGAATTTCTAGTTGTAATGATTGGCATGCCTTATCAATATCCCCAAACTCTTGTGGGGGTAGTGACTATCAGCTGGTAAGTACATTTGTTCTTTGAAATATATAGCTCTAGATGAAATCTACTAGTCTATGTAAAACTGTAATAAGTCCATTAGTTTCTTAGAAATATTATCTGAAAATAACATACCGGGAACTTGTACATAGCTTATTCCTAAGGAAGTGAAAATGCTTTGCTAATTCTGCACGTGCTTTGTACTTCAGTTGGCTACTCTAGGCTGCATGATCATAAATTCACTTGTCAAGAAAGTGTTAGAGCAACTTAATAGAACTCTACGTAAGATGTATATCATAAATTAAGTCTTCCTCGACAAATCTTTCTCCAAAGTTCAATTCAAAACAATTTCTTAGTTCTGTTTCTTTCAAAGACTATTAAAAAGAATGCAACAACTCACAATAACGTGAACATTTGGGAAGTAAGCTCCTTTCTTGCTCCCTCCATCCCCAAAATAACCAAATACGATTTGGGGTACTTGGAAATAGGATCAAAGAGTCAACTGTCCGAATTTCCAACCAAATACCAAACACCAGAAAATAAATCATGCTTTCTGTCATTACCAAATGCACTCTGAAATTTGAAAAACACACTGTACATTCAGTTGTTAACTTGGACTTTTTATTTGAAGTTTTAGTCAGTTTTTATTTGGAGTAGGGATCAGATAACTAGAACGAACAAAAAACAAACATTAGATCAAATGAATATGAAGTAGACCAGGTTCTGATATTCTTTTTTGATTCTGAATCTTCACGTGACCTAATATGAGTGCTTGACCTTATTCCATCTCTTGAAATATGCAGCACGGTTACAGTGTCACTTCAATTGAGTTATTATAGATTCTTTATTTGATTTTGGAGGACCCGAATTTGCTTGTGGATTAAAGAATATATATTGACATGGACCAACAAATAGGTTCTAGGTCTTGTGAAGAAACTCTGTTTTATAGCAAAATTGTCAAGTCCAACTTTTTATTTCTGTTAACGAATTTGAAGCTTTACAAGTTCTGTATGGTGAGAACTGCACAGTATTCTTGCAGAAAAAATGCAAAAATATAGTGCCATCCATGTACAGTAATTTTTTGCTGTTTTCTATTTATACCTGCTCTCTGAATTATTTGAAGCAAGTGGCGTATTGAATACCTATTATTCCCGTGCATGTATGTAGTCTAAAGATATTATTTCCTTATTCCAGCTTCACAAGGGACATCATATTGCAGACATCAGCCTACAAATGCCTGGAGTCCACAATGTTCTTAATTCATTAGCAGTAAGTAAACATTCAGAAGTTATTTTTTGTTTTATCAGTGTAAGTAGACGTTTAAGTTGCAGAACTATTTTCTTCTTATATGATCTTTACTCAAATATTATTGGCTAAAAAAAAATGTCAGTATTAGTTAATCAATCTAAACTTGTTCATACATCAACGGGGCCAAAACTGGAAAATTATTTTATTGGCTGCTCGTGATTATATCATAGTTTAGACATCTGTAATTGAAGAAAACACGGTTCAGCTTGCTAAGTTGTTTCATTTCCCCACTGCTAGTAAAGACATATTTTGTTGAGTTCTGTTGCTTTGGATATTCCAACCGGCAGGTCATTGCAACAATCAATGCTCTTTCTACGGATGAGAAAAACTTTCTCAGTTCCATTGCTTCTTTGAAATTACGCTTGCAAAATTTTGAAGGTGTTTCTAGACGTTTTGAGAGGATAGGTACAGTCCGTGGGTGCCATATATATGATGACTATGCTCATCATCCCACCGAGATTCAAGCTACTCTTCAAGCAGCACGCCAGAGGTTTACATTTCAAGAACTTGTAGTAATATTTCAGCCTCATACATACAGGTATTTGCAAGAGTATTCTCCTTCCAAATTACAATTACATTGATTGCACAATGCTTGAATTTTTCATAATTTGCAGTCGTTTAGCAGCATTGAAAGACGACTTTGCTATTGCATTCACTAATGCGGACAGGGTTGTGATAACAGAGGTTTAGCCCCATTTTTGAATTCCGATGTTAAAACTGCTTAAGTTTATGTATTTGTCCCCCTTTTCTGTCTTGGCTAAGGAGATGTAGTAATTTGTTTCTGCTGCAAGATTTATGAAGCCAGAGAAACAAATCTGTGGAAGATCAATGGACACGATCTTGCAGCATCTATAGTTGGCCCACCATCTGAGTTTGTCCCTTCCCTGGTATGCCGGAACAGAAAACTTCCTCACAGTTGTAGATGTTGGAGTTGCCTGAAATTTTGCTCTGATGTCCTTGTAGTGGCAAATGTTCTGAACATAAAAATAATCAAGTCTAATTTCACAAAATACGGAGTTCCTATTCTCAGGTCTCTAATGAATAAAAGAAATTTCTCTTTGTGAAATGCGATGGTGTGAAACAGAGGAAAGCTTCTCTTCCTCTAATTAACGATATCTATCATCATTGTTCTAAGTATACCACATCAATTATAGTACTGCACAAGTCAACTTGTGTTTCATCTTGGCTAAACCCCATCTTTTAATGGTGTTTGATTAAACAGATACAGGTGTTGGAAATGCTGGTTGTTCATATATCCAAGGATCCCGATCATGAAACTGTCATCATGACCCTAGGAGCAGGTGAACATTCTGATTTCTATGACTGGAAACCCTTGTATAACATTAGTCCATTGTCTAAGGAGATCATTCTTCACAAGATCGACCAAAAGGGAAACATGAAAACAAAGAAATGAATAGTAATTGTAAAAAAATGACACAAATTTTACGCTTCTTATTTATGAGATTTGAATCGGACATCTTTTTTTTCAGGAGACATAACTTCAGTGGGTCGTAAACTCCTAATTGAATTGCAGCACAGATTACTATAATATACTGCATCACGAGATTGGCAGCAAACTCAAGACGTTTATAGCCTTTACATATAATTGGCTAAATTTGAAGCCAAGGTTCCTAGAATTGTAGCACATTCATCTGCACTAAATATATGGCGGCAAGCCTGACCTCATGATAGAAGATCTCGTCATGCAGATATGAAGATCATAATGTTCAACTGCTTGAGATGTTTGCATCCATTGATTGCTTTCTCTACTGCAGCAAATTCACCACTCTGGGAACAGACCTGGTCAATGATACAGAAGGCATGGAGTAAGAAAGCACTGAGTTGCACCCCAATAGTATTTCTTGAGCTCTATCAGTTCACCTCCCAGCATCACTGATCATCTTGATTCTTGACTATGCATATTGGTAGCAGTACAGTTCCTCCCTTTATGGACTGCCTCTTTAGCTTAGCAATCATGTGGATCTTGTGAAGGATATAAGAGAATTTTCGAATGTTTAGAGGATGGCTATTTACACTCAAAGTATATCCCCTCATTTCTAGTTTCTTGTTGGTGCATTTATGAATACAGAAGATAGCTCGTCCTTTATAGAGAATCATAGTGTTGTAGGTCCTCTACTGTTGATTAATTGCTAGGTTAAGGAGATCCAAATTTTTAATAGAAGTAATTGTCTTGGCAAAAAAATGATCACCATTCACATGATTGGCTTCTTTTTGTAGAGCAGGGGTACAATATTGTTGTGCACTGTAATCAATTCTATTCAATGCTTATGGAAGTTCAACCAGATTCCATTTCGATTGAGGCACTGTGCATATCAACATCTAATGAGCTGTCTGCAAAGAGACTACATAATTCTCTCACTAACACAGGTATTTTACACCCACAAATATCTAAATTTACCACTGCTGAGGGAAACTTATAGAAAATCTACTTGTGAGCACTGATTTAAGTGCAATTCCCCAGTACATGCATAGTAAGCATATAAGGTAACAGAGTGGAGATCACAGACTGGACTGAAAGTGAGAGTAAGTAACTCAAATTTAGATTGGAAGAGAGGAGGAAAAATCACAGAAGCACATGACAGTTTTCAGCTCAAATCCAACAAAAACAAAACAGTTGCACTAATCTTCAACTATCCTACAAACAGAATCTTGAATAGTAATAAAGGAAGAATGCAAGCGTTTAACTCTCTACTATACACAGTTTTCTTGTGTCAACAGTACCTTCCAAAAAACACAATCAAACAATTACAGAAAGCTTACCAAAGCCACTACTAAGAAGAGAATCATTACGCTATCGTCCAAAAAATGAGAAAAATCCACGTTTCTTTGGCTCCTCCTCCATCATTACAGTCTCCATACTATCTTGCTCCACCAACCTCCAAGCTGCTTGCTCAAATGCCAGACCTGCCAAAGCTGGTGGCTTGTTCAACACAAGGGGATAACCTCTGTTAGTACTTCTAATAACTTCTGAATCCTCAGGTATTACCCCCAACAATGGAAGCCCTAGCATTTCCTGCACATCCAATACAGACATCATATCTTCCCCTTTTATCATATCAGTCCGAACCCTGTTCACAATCATCTTAATATCCCTAATTCCATCACATTCTAACAATCCTGTCACTCTATCAGCGTCTCTTAAGCTGGTAATATCTGGCGTTGTCACTAGTACAGCCTCATTTGCCGGAGTTATAGCCGTGATGAACCCAGCATCAATGCCGGCTGGACAATCAATGATGATGAAATCCGGACCACCTTCATCACGAGCTTTTAGGGCATCCACAAGCCAAACCAAAGCTTTCCCACCAAACCCTATCGGCAATTTGGATCTGGGCTTGGAAATACACAGCAGCTCGAAATTGGACCACCGCTTATCACGTACAAGAGCCTGATCTAGTCTGCAATCACCGTTGAGAACCTCGACAACAGTATAATTCACCCGGTTTTCTAAGCCCAGGAGGAGGTCAAGGTTGCGGAGACCAACATCGCAATCAATGGCGACGACAGAGAAGCCGAGCCTAGCTAATGAAAGACCGATGTTGGCGGTGGTAGTGGTCTTCCCGACGCCGCCTTTGCCGGATGTAATGACGACGACTCTCGGCGTATCTCCGGCGAGTTGAGGCTTGCGGTTGTACTGGAGCATAGAATGGATGGAAGGGTAGAAGTTTCTAGAAGGCCTGAAGGCCGGAATGGGTTTTAGGGTTTTGGGAGACAAGGAATTGGGAGGGGTAAAGGTGGAAGAGTAGAGAGAGGAAGGTTTAGGGTTGAGCGGCTGCAGAGATAACATTTTTGTGTAGAAGAACGAGAGTTGTATTTGAGTGAAAGAGAGGAAATTTCACAAGAACATGTTTCGATGTCGCTTAGCAGAAAGGAGAAGAAGACGGCTCTGGAAGTGAAAAAGGTAAGATATCTTTCTTGCAGCTAGGAGTTAAATTGTTTTAATCCGAATCGAAATTGATAACCCAGAGTAAAAAAAAAAATGTTATTGATTTATTAGTTTTGATGGCGGTTTTTAATTTTTTTGATATTGAATTTTTGATTTTTAACGGTTAATTGATAATAAATTATCTTTATATCATTGGGTGTATGAAATCAGGGTTAAATTTCATACTTCAATTTCTGTTTGTCTTTAACCGTTGAGTGTCAACCATGCTACCTTGTATCAATTTTTGCTTTTGAGCAAGAAATAACATGTCAATTCAAATTTATGATTTATTTGTTTGTCAATTTGTTTCTAAATGACTTCCAATAAAAATTTTAATGATTAAATTGACAATTATCAATAAGTTGAATCAATATACTTCAAAATTGAATAGATTGATACAAGATCCTAATGCTCTTAATTCCTCTTTTTCTTTTTGTGGTTATTTGTGTTTATTATTATTTTAGATAAGACATATATGAATGAGTCATTTGTGTATGTAGAAGAGTGAAAATGAGGAAGTTAATGATGTAGGTTTTGACTGGTATCTATAGCTATGAGTGTTACCCTTTACCTCCTAAGAGTATAAAGATGGTGTAGGAAATAAAAGGTTATAGATAGTTAAAAATGTCGTATCGTGCAATTATTCGAATTTATTTGTTTGGCTAGTGTGTGTTATCCTAGAACCAACACATTTTTATGTGTCTCATTTAATTTTTCTAAGTAGAATGACCTAATAGACTTATGTATCATATGCCCTTTAAATAAATCATATAAGATGACAAAGTAAAAAAAAAAGGTTTAAAATAGTGTTATAACTAATCTAATGATTCAATTGAAAAAGTGGTAAGTAAAAGGATTTAACTGATAAACAAAATCAAGTACAATATTCTCTCGAGTCATTCTGTCATTGTTTAACTATTTGTACTCAGTGTTACCTAGTTCCATGTGGGTTCCGTTCAAACCAACCAATTGTTTTAAATTTTCTTATTATGAATATACGGTTAAAAAAAATTATACTACTTAATTAGTTATCATAATTATACTTTGTTATAATTGTCACTTGCGACTAACATTAATCATATTATTTGGGTTGATTTTGAGTTTGTATAACTAATCGTGTTTGTATAATTCGTAAGTAACAATTTTTCATTTGATTTATATTTGTATACGATAGTTTGTATTTGTATATGACGATGATTTTCTTGGGTTTCAGTTTTATCACCATATATATTCAATCTTTTTACAATAACTTTTTAAAGTTTGTATAACTGTGTAGTTTTTGGATTATGTATGATAATTTGAATAAATGTTTACAGTTCATATGTTTATGTTTGTATCAATTCTTTATTTTGAGTTTCATATATTTGTATAATTTCATACTTGTATTACTCAATTATATAAAAATACGTAAATTGTACAAACATACCTGTGAATTATACAAACGAGATGTGAATTATACAAATAATTGTCCTCTCTTGCTCGCCTCTCTCCTCCCTCTCCCAATATCGCTCACTAGATATAAAACTACATATGTATACCAGTTACATATATACGATTATCTAATCGATTACATATACGATTCATCTCTCTCCCATTCTCTGTCCTCGCTCGCCTCTCCCTCCTTTCCCAATCTTGCTTGTCACTTTCCTCCCTATAACATATAGCTACGAATCAAAATTATCAAATTATAGCATAGAGCATAATTAAGCTATTTTTAAATGAATATATGCGAGAGTTTCCTTCTTATTATTTACAATTTTAATTGAGTTATCATATAATCCTTTTGGAAGCCAGCGACCCAAAGAGGTTCTAAAAGTCCAAATGCTTATGCAATTGCCCAAGTGAGCACTAACATCTTCAGCTAGTGGTCCTAAACTTTTATTCTAAAGTTTTAGGAGTCAACATAATTTGGTTATATATAAAATTAAATGTAGTACAAAGTAAATAGGGTTATTGTTACTTTAAAAATATGATAATTGTAACTTCAATAAAATGGCTATTTGTATAGGTAATGTATCTATATTGTGTATATGATATATATATATATATAGGTAATGTATCTATTTGCTTTCCTTTTATTTTGATTTTAGTTTCTTCACTATTAATAAAGGACTAACTTGAAAGGGTAAAAAAGTGATATACTGAAAATAGATATTCAAGATTATTGTCAATTTAACCAATTAAGAAATAATTAGTCATTTTTTTCTAATTCCGCCCTTAATAATTACTTCAATTGAAAAGTTTGTAGACTTTTGATATCCTTGATATAGTAGGGTTATATTAGTCAAATTATACCTTGTATTAAATTTTATTGGAGAGGAGTGCATGACCTTAACCTAACAAACAATTATGAACGGAGGGAGTAATAAACAAATGTTCAACGAAAATATATATAAGACAATTAAAATTGTTTGTACAAAAACCATATTATGTATATATAAATGTAAAATCAAATCAATTCAAATAAAATTAATTTATTTAATTATTTTAAATCGATTTTTATCCAAATTATGAGAACACATAACCTATCATCTTTGCTTCATGCTTTTAGCATGTGACGACATAGTGAATGAACTCATCCAATTATAACCAACCATCCACTTCTAACCATACAATCTTTGATTCCCTAATCTACTCCAACTAATAACCCTATTTTCCTCCTCTTTTTTTTTTTTTTTTTCTCAAAACAAAAACAAAAACAAAAACAAACTCCTTATTTATCAACAAGAAAAAGCAAAAGCAAACTCCTTTTAATAGAAAAACAAAATTCATTCAGATCAAGCGGCGCAAATTTCTCCATTTTCATGGTTCCCCCACTACAACACAATCTGAACCGTTCATTCCAAGTGTCCTTCATCACTCAAAGTTCTAGACTTCCACGTGTCTCACAACTAGATAATCAAATTGACGATTTTACCCTTCCTTCTCCTACACATCCCCGTCTCTTCCAAACCGGCAAATTCATGTGATCAGTTTGGTTATTATATTATCTTCTCTCTCTCTTTTTATCTCTAAATTTTCTTTGGACATCAATTTTTCTGTGTTCTCTTTTGCGATTTAGATCTATAGATCTTTTATACTCTTTTATTGCTAGTTGACTTTCGCTGGGAGAGTTTTTCCTGTGGCCATTTTCTCTCGAAGGTTTGTTTTTTCTTGATATTTAGAGCTTTGTGTTTGACTGAGATCTGAAAGATTTGATTTTTATGGGTTGGTTTTGTTTTTCTTTCTGATTTGGATTCTGGGTGTTCTTGATCTGATGTTAATTGTGTGCGGAAGTGATTGATTTTGTTGAAAGTTGAGGTTTTTGTATGTGGGTCGGAATTGGATTAGTGAAGTTTATATACGGATTGTGATTTGGATATAAACTGAATTTA